AAACAGTTTAGATATGAAATTGAACGATATAACGACATAGAATTTTTTAACTGTTACTGTTTGTTATAAATATTTATTATTTGACAAATAATCATAAAAAGAAGAGATTTTCAATCTTGTAAGGATTTCAGGTAGAAATTTATAATGAAAAGAATTTAAAATAATTTTAATTTTTATGTTGGACACTTGAGAAATCAAAAATATAGAAGATATTTGAAGAAATATCAATGACTGATTGGGATATATTCAAGAATATTGAAGATGTGAAGATATCCGATTATATTTTTTGATAAAATTTCGAAAATTTATCAAGAATTCTGATGAGTAGATTTTACATGTAATTCAAAAAATAGTTTTTTTCTGGTTTAAATCTAGTTGATAGACTTAAAAATTATCTTAATTGAAGTATACGTATATATGTCGATAATTGAACTCCATGCAAATGTGTGTATTGTATACAATTTACTCTCCAGAATGATTGAGAGTAGATACTGTTATTAAATTTTAACATTAGATTTTATATTGAATTGATAATAATCATATTTTAATATAATTTATTTTAATTTCTTTATCTTTGCATTGATTCTTTATCAGATCTTTATCGATGCATTGATTTCCGGAGGAGGCAAAAACAGAAAATTTGATGCCATTTATTACAGCTACAATATTTAACCGATTTTTTAATGGATTGCTGTTATAAAAATTAATAACTTTGTTTTCCTATATTCATTAAAAAATTGATTTGGTTAGTGCGGTTAAAGTTATTATTAAGTTTTTTGTCAGTATAGTTTGGTGTAGGAGCTAATAAAATGATGTAGGATTGAATTTAATTAAACATAGAATCAATATTGAATTAACAATATTTTCTCTCAACTCATAGTGTTTTTACGATATTCTTGTACTTTATTAAAGAAAATATTTACTTTTCCTGTGTATATTGAACTCCATGCAAATGGAGTTCAATATACAAATGCAAATATTCTTATAATCTAAAAAAACTGCTATAGACTTTTAAACAATCGAATACAAATGAAATACAATCGTTCCATTACGTTTATTAACTTTTATGTATTTTACATTGAATATTCTTAAAGTTTTTGTATATTATACTTGCTGAAAGAATTTTAACTGATATTGAAAACAGGTAGAAAATATTGTAAATTTTATTTGTTGTTAAGTTACTTTCTAACAAAATTCAATGTAAATTTTTCAAAAGTTGTAGTGCTCAGACAACTTTCTAAATTAAAGTTTTAATGATCTGCCAGCTTCATATTAATTAACATTTATCACGTTATATTTTTTTATTAGCCTGACAAAGTTTAAATCAATCGTTAAAATTAAAAGTTGAAATAATTGCTACAAGTCATAGAAAATACAAAATTTAGTTATAACTTCGTAGAAATAAGTTAAATTTGTCTTTATTGTTATTTTTCTTTATTCATTGGGCAAATGTGAACAAAATGTCTTATACTTACAATCTTACTCTTATTATGTACTGTACGTACAAATTTTCACGTACTTTACAATTAACAAGATGTAAAGATTTTTAGAAAAGTAAATATCAAGTTTGTTCATTTTTATGAGGGTTTTTTCTTTGAGATTTTTAAATTTTGTGCAAAAATTTAAAATTATTGATTTGTGTAACAATGCTCACAAACACCTATTGTATTCTTGATAATCATTTTTACTAATCATTATAGGTTTTGTAAGAAATGTATAATGGCTATAATTTATAAGGGGAAAAAACGCTGAAATGCTACTTGTTGTAACAAAATCAGTCAAAATATTTGGCATGTCTCCATTTATCTATCTGATCCATTTGGCATATTCATTTATTTGATGAAGGCTTGTATGCAAAAACATGTAATGAAGTTTGAATAAGTGTTCTTGAGTTATTGTGAGTTTTTGATGAAATGAAGACATAAGAAATTAATATTTTTGAATATTCTTTATAAGATTGTTAATTTTTAAAATTTCATCATTTTTCGAAGAATAAGTACTTTACTTCGAAAATATATCCTGCTTTTTATTATCCACATTTCATATATTATTATTGAAGTAAATAGACTAATCAATAAGATTGAAATATAGAAAATAATAATATATAGCTTTTTACACATAAAAGAAATAGATTAAATTTGGTTGGATTGATGAGATAAGGCAACGTGAGATATGGGCAATCTGCCAAGAGGAGAATTTTCTTTCTATGGGAAACCGGCTCCTATTTAGATGTTAGACATACGAAGAAACTCCAGAAAAATCCACGTGACTTGCCCGTTGGTGAGGAGCGAATCTGCCATTAGTGTTTGGTGGTTTTATCCTCGCAACATAAAATCTGTAATCAATAATTACAAGAAAATCCAGAACAATCTAATTTGTATATTTGTCTTGTTAATCATTTAAATATAATATAACATAAACATTACATCAAATATTCATACATTTTAATAACATGTATAATGTTTGAACATAATACATTATATGATGATAAAAATAGCAATTGTATAAAATTGTCATAAAATTGTATAAAAATCAGTTTAAAATTTATACGTAACTCATAAAATTTGCAGTTATTATCATATATTAAATATTAATTATAAATTACACGATGTAATTTATAAAAACTTTGTGATCAAATGAATTAAATCAATTCTTATCTTTCAAAGAAAATATTGACTCCGAATAAAAAATTGCATTAGTTAAATTCTTTCTTCTTAAAAATAAGAATTTTAACATAATCTTCTTTGCTCTATTGGCTTTTCCATCTACAATTCTTCTTACCATTAACGGAATAAAAACAATAAATCCATACATTAACATTTCAGAAATAAGGTTAGTAGAAACTCTCCTTGTTTCTTCATACGGAGGATATAACATACATTCAGTATACAAATTTACAATACAAATAGGAATTTTAATATTATAATATAATTAATATAAGAATTTTAATATAATGGTAAAAATTAAAATATAAAAATAATTCTAGCGTTTTTTATTTTAAACATTTTAAGGCCTCTAAACTTATCTATATGTGTTTATCTTGAATAGTTATTTTAAACCAATATATCTACGAATTAAATTTGGACTATTGTTGTTTATTGAATTATTTTTAAATTATTTCATTTAAAAAACATTTACATTTACCTACGTTTGTTATTTACTTAGCATTCATTTTTTGTATTTTAGTATTATATTAACATGTTTTTAACAACAAATGATAAACTACTAATTTCAGTTTTTTAAATATTTCAATTAAAAATATATTTTTCTTTATTCAACAATTGAAAAATATTTTTTCCAACTTTTATAAAATAGATATTAAAACTGTTTTGCTTTTCTAATATAAAAATTGAGTTGTTATTGCCTTTATTGACAGCTTGAATAAAATTATAATTTTTAATATTAATAACAAAAAAAATGCAAATTAGCATTTTTGTAGATGCATATCATGAACTTGTCTTAAGAAAATTCATGAGAGTTGATTAAACTTCTTATAACTTATAAATGAATAAAAAAGAAAAAGAAAAAAACAATCGTGGTTATTAGTTAAATTAAGTTCTTACAAGAAATTATAACTGAAGAATATTTTTATATAGGGTTACAATTTTCTTTCTTGTAATTTTCATACAATTCTTTTAATGCAATCTCTCGGATAGAATTCTTTTTATCAACTAATTTTCTGAGTACATCTAATTTTGGTTTCGAATCTCACTTAAAAAATAAAATGGAATTAGAATTCTTGACAGATTTAATTTTTAATATAAATTATTATTTTTAAAATGTTTGATACTAACCATTAAGCATTGGATAAACTTTTAAAATTTTATGATTTTTAGGTAATTTGCTTACTGAAATACAAATTCAAATTTGTTGACTTAAGGACTTATCAAAGAGAACACGCAAAACATTATTACAATAGTAAATAAATATATTAAATGGCATAGTATTAAAACACTTCGAATTAATTTGAACTGTTTTACAGTTGGAATTTAATATGATTAGTAAATAAATTAGCAAAGTAAACTATCAAAGTATTTTCCGGAAGTGTACACTGTTAAAATTTAAATTATTATTCATAATTTTAAATTCTATTCGATAAGGACGAGACCTGTTACTTAAAATCACCAGGGTAAATTATTCAGTTTTATAGTAAATCATGACACCAAATCGTTTAAAAAATCAATCTAATATTTCATTTCTTAATTTCATGACACCATTTAGCTTTATGCTTTCAACAGATGAGTGCAAGTCATCTGATGTAAGCAATTGTAATTATGTAACAACATACTAGATTTCAATCACTTAATAAGTATCTTCAATGATATTGATACTTGAATAAAGGTAATTGTTGAAACAAATTTCTAATAGATTATAATACGTATTTCGTGGAATACTTATGCTGCAATAATGATTATATTATGATCGATTTGCTAACAAAATAGGAATATATTACCAAATAAAACAGAATAATGAATCTAAAAAGGAATGCTATTTAGATACCTTGACCTTTAATTATGGTTGAATAAATTCTTAGAAAATAATTGGGTTTTTTTCATGTCATACGAAGCGAATCTGGGTTAATTTTAGGTTTTCCATTAGCATTTTCTTAATAGATGTGATGTAGTCAATATTTTTAAAATAATTTTTTAAATCAAGAAGTTTTTATATTGCTGAACAATTGATAACAAAGGATGTGTATTGTTATTTTAAGAACAGGAAATTTCGATGATAGTGTATATTCTGAATATTAATATTTAGGAAGCAACACAAAACTATTACTTTCTTTAAGAATCGGATTTTAGCCCCGAGATATAGGTCAACTCATTTTAAACAGTTAAACGGTGAGATCATCGTCTGAGGGTTCCGTTTGAAAGGGTTTAACAGAAAAATCAATTGTACAATCGAGTTAAAAAGTTACATATTCTAATTAAATGTAATTTATTAGAAAGTATTTAAAATTTAAAATATTTTAAATTTATTTATTTTTATTTTAATTGCAGAAAATAATCCAAAAATATATTCTTATAAAGAGAAACAGAGGTACGATGGATGGTATAACAATCTTGCTCATCCCGATTGGGGTTCGGTTGGTAAGTCAACATTTCATTTTTCTATATACAGTTATTCATATTTTACATATTTGTATTAAATTATTTTTCGAGTTATACGATTTTTGTCTTGTTTAAAGAACGGCGAGTCATCAAAATGATCAATGGATCGCTCCTTTACTAAATAACTCCCCGGTTGTTCGGCACAAGGACAAATAATAATTTTATCGCCACCGTAACTCAACCGAATTACCGAAAAGATAACTTATTACACGGGTAAAAATATAATTTATGTTTTAAAATGGAATTTTATTTCGACATTTTTATGTGGGATCTTCGTTAAAGAAGTAGATAATCTTGTCATTTTATTAATAAATACTATATTTGAAGTGATAAAGAATTTACAGTACCTGGCTGTTATTGTTGTCAAGGTCGAGAACAACCGGGAAGTAATGAAGGTCTTATTATCTCACAAGTTGCTCTAGAGAAAAGCTGTCTGGATAAACCTTGAATGAAACGATACATACAATAACATCTTCGCTCAGATAGGACGGTTCTTCTGTTCTGCCGTCTTAACGACTACTTTTTTCATTTATTGTTACAACAACAAAAGAATTTTGTTTCGTTTTAAACATCCCGTAAAACACGTAAAACATAATTGTTATTTATTTTTATAATTAGATTCTCATTCATTTGGGATAAATATAGATTACCCTTGATAGAAATCTGTTTTACATTGTGAATTTTTTTAATGGAATGAATGAATGGCGTTCAGTTTTTTGAGGAAAATTTAAATACATTTACAGGAAACGAGATGTCGAAAGTTAAAGTGTTATTTTAGCAATGCAAAAAATCAAATATTTACTGAAATAAAAATGCAGTTGGAAAATTTCGAAGCGATCTTCAAACTTCACTTACATTTTATGTGATATTGCTTTCAATTTGATGATATTGTTTCTAATGTTTTTTAAATTTGAAAAGATTATCCGTCTCGGATAACATGAATCATGATGATATGATCATGATTTTTTACTTTTATTTCATTAATTTGTTTGCTTAGTAAATATTTTCACGGATCAGAAAGATACATTTCTGACATATGTGTCTTGAAACTATATACTGTACTATTATTCACCGAGTATGTTTTGTTGATAGCTTTACAGAATACATATCATGTGTCTAATAAATAATTTGGATTCCAAAGCCAAAATTTATGTAAACTAAATTTAAAAACTTCAGAAATTATTTTATTTTGTTTCAAACGTTAGAAGATCTTAGTAGAAATACAGGCCTACCTTTAAAAGTATTTTGCATTTTCTGTTCTGTCACTTGCCTTTAAAGAAATCAAATTATACAAAAATTAAGTTCTAAATAAAACAATAGAAATATTGAAGTAGAAATAATGAAACAGTAAGCTTTGATTATATTTTATATAAAATTTCATAATAAATAGGAATTAAAAAATTCAAATTTGTTGACTTAAGGACTTATCAAAGAGAACACGCAAAACATTATTACAATAGTAAATAAATATATTAAATGGCATAGTATTAAAACACTTCGAATTAATTTGAGCTGTTTTNATTTTAATTTAAAATTTAAACAGAAAAAATAAATTATCAAAAAATTTTCATAATATATGTAACACAAGGCAATTTCATAGATTTTTACCTCAATGTGTAACGATTTGATATATAAGGAAAATAATTTAACAAATTTATTATTACCGTGCATTTTAGTTTTTTTTTAAGGGGGGATAGAGTTGTTTATTGTGTCGTAAGATTACATTTTACTTAAGAATAAGAAATTCTATCAATCTACTTTATGCATGCTGTTTAAACTAGGTTGATGGTTTAACATAAGGTCAAGCAATCACCGTGGGCAAGGACATTTTGTATGAATCCCTCTATAAATAAGACCTTCACCCAGAAACTTTCGATCTACAATTGAGGTTAGTGAGGTATTCCGTGCCCTAAAAGAAACAAATCAATTGATTTGCTAATCTCCAAGATTTTTTCCTCCTAAAGAAAACACAAATATTTTACGTTTTTTAAAATGATAATTTATGTTTAATCTATTTAGATTTACGCATAATTTATATATAATTTTAAAATAATAATAATAATTATTATTATTATTAATTTTTTAAAACTAAATTAAAAACATTTTCTGTGCATGAATTTTGACCCACTTCCGGAGCTTCACACAACTGTGAGGTATGCTCATTGATAACATTTCTCTTAGCCAAAAACTGCAAAACTGTTGAAATCCATTGTCAACTGTATAAAGTTTATGAAGAGAACATAATGAGTGAGAGTAGAGTGAGACAATGATGCCCTATGTTAAAAATGGGTAAAAAGATATCTACAATGAGCAGAGAAGTGACTGGCCATTTGTGGTGACTGATAAACTCATACAAAAGTTTATGAAAAGGTTAGAGAGACTTGCTGATTCACAGTTTCAGAACTTTCTAGTGAGTTTCCACAGATTTCACACACAGTTCTTTATGAAGTAGTCATTGATATAGCTGAAATCACAGGTGGCAGAATTCTACAACAATGGAATACAAAAACTCATAACATGCTAAGATAAGTGTATAAATTTCACTGGTGACTATGTTGAAAAATAATGCAAAAGTTTAAGTTGCATATAATAAAATTCCTTTCACTATGCTGATGTTTTTTTAATAACCAAATGGAAGTTACTTTCCAGATAGCCCTTATACTAAAATATTAATATTCCTCAAAAAATTGAATTTTCTTACATATTTATCTTCTAACAAACTGTATTCTTGTTCTGACAAAAAAAGAAGAGAAGATATTAGTTACTTTAAGTAATATATGTCAAAATATTCTTATTTCAATTATTTTAGTAAAGCACTTTATTTAATTAATTATAAAACTTCTTATTAATTAAACGTTTTAATTTATTGTATTTAATTAATGCATTATTGGATTTTTTTCCTTTTAGATTACTATTTTGGAATCATATTACAAAAGGAGAGAATGAAACATCATTGTATACAATTGAATCTTCGTTTTTAGATGGAAGTAAACAAAAAACTATTTTGAAATTTAATAATAGTTATGATACAGAAAATAATTACAGTAAGTTTATAGCATTATTACTTTGTGATTATTCTTTATTATTTCTATCTTTTAATACTTAATCATATTTTTACTTTAAAATAATTTATTGATATTATTTTTATAACAATCATTTATACATATGGAATTAAAATCCATTCTATATACATAANTCCAAAAAAGTTATAAAAATTCAATGGAGTCAGAAAATTTCTTCTTTTGTTTTCTTACATAAAATGTAAAATTACGAAAAAATTATATTTTTCTTTCCTTTCTGACTTTTGGATAATATAAAACTTCAATTTTTCAAAAAAACAAGCCAATAATGACTATAAAATCTTTAAAAAACAGAGTTTAAAAAGTGTAAAAGAGTTTAACACTATTAGTTTTTATGAATAGTACTATTTTTTTAGTTCTTATGCTGAATAAAAACTTTCTTTAAATATAGATAGTCCTTTGTCATATTTCTAAGAAAAAGTGTAAAAAAATATTGTAAAATTTTGAAACTGATTGGCCAATATTAAAAGTAGGCGGAGACACACTTCCTCTTCTTTAAACGTTCATTATTAAAATTATAAATATCTTTCAGATTTTTTGTCATTAATTTCAAAAAGATCGCACTATTCATAATTTTATTTTATTGTATTAATTTAATAAATTTCCTTGTAAATTGATATTTTTTAAAATACTCAGTGGTTACGCATTTACCTTTATTTAAAAATTAACAATATATAGTTCATATTTATTTATGAATTATAGAAATGACAAAAAAATATAAACAACGGAATTTTAAATCGTTGGTTTGTGTACGTCATTTCATTCATTGAATTAATTTATATTTTAAACTGTAAAAATAACGAAGCTAAATGTTAAATTTCGTGAATATTTATAATAGAATTATGCCAGATTCGGTTCAATAACATCAAGTATATATGCTGCAAACAAGATTTTTATATAGAAATCAATCATACCTGCACCATAATTTGAAAAAATGTGAAGCAATTATATATCTTTAAAATTTGGATTATCACAATTTAGAGTAAATATTTCGTGACTTCATATTTATTGGATTCTATATCTATTTCCTATTTCTGTTTTTACAATCTTTTCTGTGCTTCTACAGCAGAAGATCTTTCAAATATGTTTTTAACTTTCTTAACTTATTTTTTCCTCACTTGTGATGAAGTAAATGAAAATATAAACAAGTTGTTTGTATTGATTGCATATTTTTGCATATTTACATAATAATTGTATAGAAAAGTGACTGAGATAAAGACTTGTTTTGCATCCTACACGAAGATATATTGACTCCATTCTAATTTTTTAAACTTATTTTTCTCCCTATTTCTTAACTTTTGACTTATATAATAACACAGAAATTTCTTTTATGTATTTTATTAAGTTATAAAAAGTCGACCTCTCAAGTCTTCAGAATATATTACTTTAACCTCTCAACTTTCAATAAAATGTTATAAGTAGGTTATATAGACCTATATTAGATTTATTAACAATTAAAAAAATACAAGATTTCAAGAAAACTTTTTTCATTTTGCGTTTATTTTGTACAATTGAAGATATTACAAATTTAAACATCACTGTAAATATTTATGCGTGATATAACTAGTCAATGTATTCTGGCATGTAAAATCTCATTACATGTGCAAATTATAATTTATAAGTAAAAATAATTCAAAATAAAAAAAATATATGTATTATATTATATTTTATTACACAAATATTACGTATTATATTTTTAGATAAAATTACCTATTTTCTCACAATAGTTTATAATATAAAAAATTGCTTAAAATAATATATTTTTGATATTTTTATAGGCCTACAAGAATTCTCATCCCGAACCATTCATAGATTCTTTAAGAGCTATAAATGAAAGAGACTAAAGCTTAAATGAGTGGGAAACAAAATTGAAAGTCATGGATTCATAGCAGAATCAAAAATATTATGAATTTTTGTTTTTTCTTAATTTTTCGATGATTTGTTTATTGATGGAAGAGATATTTAATTATTCTCTATTCTTAAATGTATAAATCTTATTAATGATTTTGGAATTTTACTTTAATTTTGTTTCGAGTTTGCTTATGATTATGTGATTTACTGATTATTATACATTTAATATATACATATCCTGGTATATTTAATATTATTGATATTAATTATTATGAACCTTTTTCGCTTCACAGTACAAGAATATCAATTTGAATACTTAGGCTACACTAGATGTTGATATGTATAAGTATTTATCAGACTAATTATGAAGTACGAATGGATAATTTTTTCTGAAAAAATCAATTAAATTAGATAATATTTTAAAGTTATAAATAAATGTCAATATTCAAAGATTATCTTTATTCTAATTACTGTACTGTTGTGTTATCGTCTATTGTTAAACAACGAAAAGAATGAATGTTCAGCTTCTCCGTGCCCCTTATCGGTCCTAACCAGTTTTAGACACATTTACCGATAAAAAAGTTATAAATAAATGTCAATATTCAAAGATTATCTTTATTCTAATTACTGTACTGTTGTGTTATCGTCTATTGTTAAACAACGAAAAGTAAATATATTAATTAAATAAAACACTAATCTGTGTAATTGCGAAGTATTTAATGTTGAAAATGATGAATTAATCGTACGATAAGATAACTATTGAAGAATTTTATCAAGATTTATGTTACGATGAAGTGTATGCAATTGCGTCAGAAAATGTTTTTAAAGAGAATCTCGAATTTATTTCTTTCAGGGGCAGGAGGGTTCAGCTACGCCCTGGACCCTCCTGTCCTGATTGAATACCCTGATACCCTGATTGGAGAGCCGGGTACTTCAAGTAATAAAAAAGGGATAATTGTTTCTTTTCTCTATTTCCTCTAAAGATTTCTGGCTCCCTATTCAATCAATCAACTCTTTTTCTCAACATTACTGATAATGTTGTAACATGTAAATTGAGAAGATATAAATGTTCCATTTTAAACAAAAATGAATATTTAAAATTTAATTTTTAGTATTCGAATAACTTAACGAATTCATTTTAAAAACAATATATAGTAGCTATAAGCCTATCGCATAATATTTCGAGAATTTTTCTATTCTAGTAATAATAATAATAACTTCTCATATAATAATTTTGCGAAAAAATTGTTTAGAAATTGTAGAAATTGTAAATCAGAATTCTTAAAGAAATATTAATTAAAATTTCTATTTTATCAATATTCTACAATATTAATTAAGAATTTTTCATTTAATTGCTTAATATGGATTCTAGAAAATAATATAAAATTTAAGTTATTTAAAAATGTTACAGAGAAATAACGAAACTTGCATGACTGTATTGTAAATTCTTCATAGCGTGACTAAATGTAATCCGAACAAGATTATATTTACATATTTTCAGTTAAAATTTTAATTGAAAGTTTAAATTTAATCATTTATATAATTCTAGAATTATATAGAATTTTATATTTTTATACAAGCTCACGCTATGATACAAATTTATAGGTTATACCTTTTAAAAAAAAACAATGTAAATTTTCGACTTCAAGAATTCTATTGCAAGAAAAGAAATAAAAATAGTATGCTTAATGTGTAATGACTCGAAGTAATTTATATTATTGTTATTTGAGATAAGTTTGATTTTTAAGCTTTAATATGTAAAAATTTCTGGTATATATCCAATAATATAATGATTATTTATGAGAAAAAAAACTATTTTAAAACATATTGCCGAGAATAAAATCCCAAAAATTAAAATAGCGTTTTAAATAAAACAAGTATAAAATTAATTTTAAATAATTTCTTTTTGGAAGAGATCAATGAATTTTTAAAATCTATTTCTAATTTAAATGCATCATTTAATGTTTTTTGTTAATTTAATTATTTAAGTCATATTATAGATGTTTTTAAAAGTATTATATAAGTGTTAAATATTTTATAATATTAAAAAATATCATTTAAGAATTTTTATTGAGAGAATCCGAATTTTCTTAGGAATAAATATAAATATTCTTAAGACTTAAGAATATTTATATTTATTTCTTGATAAATGTAATTTTTTTTTTTCATTTATTAAATACTCTTGTAGTAGGAAGTATTTCATTAAAAGACGTGCTGGAAACCAAATTAACCTGACCCTAAGATTGCTTAATACTGTACTTTAACATCGGCGAATCGGGTCAATTTTGCATTTAAATTTGTTTATAAAATCCGCTTATGGTATATAAATGTAATTAAATTATTATATTCTTATATTAAAATTTGAAAAAGTTTTCTTTCTCACGTCACGTTTTGCTAGTTTAACATTTGAAATATGTAATCCTTGAAAGCTAATTTTAATAAAAATGTTTTATTTGTATAATGAGATCGTTGATAACTGACAAATTATACCTTTATCTTTGTTCATTTTTAAAATTTTAATGAGATTAAAATTGTGATGTATCTCTTGTAATTTAGTCTCAAAAGTCATTGTTTTTGATTATTTTTATTTTTCTACTTGTAGTATAATTAAATTTTTAAAAATTCATAAAATAATTTTTTTACGAATTTCTCCATGTTATTCTTGCTGATCACTTTATTATGACACTCGATATGACAGAAAAATTAAATTCTGATGACGTTATCGTCACACACTTTCACGTGTGTTGTAAATGGAATACAAAATACCGATTCACGCTTATATGACATTCAAACTTTCCTGATTCACGCGATCATTTGACCTCCCTCTCACCTATAAATGTGAAGAGTCACATAACGTGTGGATCAGAAATGCGTGAATATAATGTTAATCCATGCTTTTCGTGTTTCCTATTAATTAAAACTTTCATTAAATATTTTCGACAAAAATGCAAATTTATGGCTCAGTGTTTATTTTAAAAAAATATATATATATATATATAAACACATTTTGAAAACTTATTCTGTTCATGTGAAAGATGTGTAAACAATTGTGTAGAATAAGAGCAATCCATTGCGACAGCGCACATTATTTTCATGATTCAAATTATAAGGGAAATTAATATATTAAATGTACAGTACGTATAAAAATAAATATTTATATGCAATAGCGGATCCAGAGATCTTTACATGGTGTCAGAAAGGAAACGATATGTTGACTTTTACTACTCAGAGAGGGGTGCAGCTGCGCCCTACACACCTCTAAATCCGTCCCTGTTTATATATACTTAATTACTCAATAATATTCTTGTTTTCTTATAGAAAGCCAACTTACTAGAAGAGCACCTTCATCGTATTCTGATGGTGTTTACATGATGTCTGGCATTGATCGTCCAAATGCTCGAAAAATCAGTTTACAGATTTTAAATGGTGAAGATGGTCAAGGATCTATTCGTAATCTGACAGCATTGTTTGCTTTCTTTGGTAATATTAATTTTCGAAATGGAAGATTATTGTTTTTATTAAAATAAGCAGAACATCTTTTAAGCTACATCATTTATTTTAGGTCAAGTTGTAACCTCAGAAATACTAATGGCGAGTGAACCTGGATGTCCCATAGAAGTGCATCGAGTTAAAATTGATCGTTGTGATACAACTTACGATAGAAATTGCAAAGGAGCTAAATATATGCCATTCCACCGAGCTCTTTACGATTCTAAAACTGGACAATCTCCAAATAATCCTAGAGAACAGGTAAGAAAATATAACAAAAAAATTAAAAAAATCAAAAAATTTTACCCAAAACTCCAATTAATTTTAAATAAATAGTATATTAAGAATTTTAAAAATGCACTTTAAAGTAATTTAATTTGTCTAATTTAAAACGAAAAATAAACTCGTGCGTAAACATAACTTTAAATGAAATTATAGTTAATTAAATTCTTGTCGATTCAAGAATTCGTTACCGCTTCTTATTTTCGTTTAAAAATTGTAGATAATGTCGTAAATCGAGTAACTTGATCTTTTGTCGTTTAGTTTTCATTCGTTCACAAGCATAACTCTTGCTTGTCTCAATAACAGAATTGAAAACGATTTCCAAGAAGTAGATGATACTTTTATTCAGGTTATAAATAATTTGAATTATTATAAATTTTAATAAAATATTTTTATGAAAAGTTTATATTAATTATACGTTTTTCCATTTATTTGTAAAACGTTTATGATATCGAATAAGTTTAATCATTTTGCAGCGCTCTATCATATGACGGGATCTTCAAAACTGACGATGATATTTTTGTACTGTATTACAACTTAAATTTAATTGATATATACAGTACATTGTACGGCTTTATGGCATATAAAATCCATTCTAGTGCATATGTCACAGCAGATAGTTTATTTTTTCTTCTGTTACTATAAAATGGTTTGGTAATCATTTATTAAGCCAATAATTATAATAAAATTGTAAAATATAAAATTCTTAGACAATGTTTAAATTTAATCCTTTCAATTCTATTGTGTTATCGCGAACAACGTCGTAAGCAGTAAAAACAGAAGCAACCTGTTACGTAGGATATATCACCCTATTACGTCATTCAATGCTTTTGTGGCTCAAGTTACGTTACGCGTACGAGAAAAGTTGATTTTTCAAACGTTGTTTTTACGATTTTATGAAACAGTGAATCGATTTTCTTAGAGAATCTTTAGATTAAAGGATCAGTAAACCGTTTCGGAATTCACAAGTCATCTTTTTGTCCTTCGGAATAATTTATTACCTTGAAGAGAATGGTTTACTTAGCGATGCCGAATTGTTCGTAAAACTAAGGTCCGGTAATTTGAAGCGCAAAACACTTTACCAAAGAAACAGTCCGTAACTATTTATAAAAATCATTTAGCCAACGATAATTGACTTTAATAGATAGTTTTCCACCATTGAAGAAGCCATTATCTTTAGTTGTCGTGTAACGAAAAATTAGTATTCGTCAATGGTCATAAGTCGCTTTGGGTTAGTTACACGAATTCCGGACACAAGATACGATATAAGGGCGTTGTATTTCGTGAAGAACGTGATATATGCACGGGTAATGATAGCTTAGTGATAATAATGTCTTCTGGGTTGTGATGGGGGCGGTGAAATATTCGCTTCGCCTCGTAATATTCTTTGTTAACGCGTTGATATGAAAAGCACGTTAACGTCGTGTATTGCCTATCTGGATATATATCACATAATACTTCAACGAATTTTATATGCCAGACTTATATCTATGAAATAAATTTCATCTCGTGAAGTTGTCCATATTACAATCTTTTTTCAGTAATAAAATATAATTATGCTTATGTTATAGTAAACTTGAATAAATCGAGAATTTGAAATATTATTTTTTCATTTTCGTTAAAAATTCCGTGTATCTTTAGGAACTCACAGTATGAAGTTTCGGAGCTGAGCTTTCAGAACGTACTGTTCAGAACGTACTGTTCAGTACGTTCTGAAAGCTGTGCACAAACTCTGTTAGAAACAATTGTGTTGTAATTCTGATAAAAGTGAAGCATGAAAGTATAATATTTAACGAATTAAATGCATTTCGATATTCTTGTTATTACAGAAACAAATGGATAAAAATTGATGTTGCATTTACAAAGTGAAAGGAATGAATTAGGAGATGAATTTAGAAATGTATTCATAGTTATATACACCGTAAGCACTAATTATATTATTTATGTAGCTAATCTAAATTACGTGACTTCGAACGATTAATCATTAGCTAAATTACATTTTTCTAATCGTGCTTTGATTGTCATATCCACAATAAAACGCTAAATTAATTTTAATGTTTAGATCTATTCATTCGAAACATTAATGAATTGCTACTATTTAAAATGGTTAGAGTTAATATTCGTTTAAGCCATTTTTTAAAGATTTTTTGAATGAAAAGATTAAACTTGTCACACTTCTTGAAAAATTTTAATTAAGGTTTTGCAACCTACTTTGCACGTATTTAGCTATTTGCTCTATTTATCATCGCATACCTATCCCGATACAGAATTATTATGAATCACTTTTTTTCAAATTAAAAACTTTTTAAATTTAAATGTCTGATTGATGATTTTATAATGTTATGTTAACATCTTTTTATGTATAATTTTACTATTTTTTATTTTTATTATTTAGCTTAACCTGATGACTAGCTGGATAGATGGTAGCTTTGTTTATAGTAGTAGCGAAGCTTGGTTGAACAGCATGAGAAGTTTCAAAAATGGAACCTTGAGAACTGATCACACCGGGCGTTATCCCCCTAAAAATAGAGAAAGAGTTCCATTATTTAATTCTCCTCCTTCTCGATATTTGGGAATGTTAACACCCGAACGGATGTATTGTAAGTAAATTAATGTAATTTTTAAATTTTCGGAATAGTTATAATTAATAATAATATGATAATGAAGTCGCGAAACTCTCGCTTAATTTAGAAAAAGTATTTAAGATGCAATTTAGTTCCTGGGATCATCGTAGCAAATGAATTTGTGATCATAAAGAAGATAAATAAAGAATTCTTTAAATTAATTTGATAAAATTTTAATTAAAAATGTAAAAAAAGAAAAAGACAAACTAAGATGCGATTCTTTGTATAAGAACAAGTACTATCGCCACAGCGAAAGCAAGGAAATAGTTCGTTACTGCTTAAATTTTTGCTTTGTTTCTCATGAATCACTGAAATGCTATAATTTATTAATAACTTCTCACACAGTATTAATGTTTACCTATTAAAATTATATAAAACTTTATTGGAACCCGTTGCAAATTTTTGATTAGTTATTTTTCTTTTATTAACATCGAATGATGAAGTAATGGACTAAAAAAGTGAAAATAAAATAATTTATTTAATTCTACATTTCATATTCTTATCATTCACATTTTAGTATTAGGAGATGCCAGAACGAATCAAAACCCTGCTATTTTGGCTTTTGGCATTTTATTTCATCGATGGCATAATGTTCTAGCTGAAAGAATACAAATCCAAAACCCAGATTGGTCCGACGAAGAAGTATTTCAACAAGCGAGAAGATGGGTAATAGCAACACTTCAGGTAAGTGCTGCCAATTCTCTAAATCATGACGTCACCTTTCGATATATGGACGGTAAGAGCGCTTTCATATTTCACTCATCATCACCTGGCGGGGAGTCACGAAACTATGTAGGACAAAAAATTTCAACTCGACACAAACAAACTCAATTGACGGAATTTGATGAGATACAAAAACTAGGTCTGTTTTAATGCGTTCCATTTTCCGTTGTGTAATAACACCTCACAGAAAATCTACTGCAAAAGCGGTTATGTCAAACAATAACACTAATTGTGTAGAAATTATGCTTGATAATTAAAATATCTCGAGTTTTTTTCCATAGGCAAAATCTCTTTGCATAAATTTCATAAAAATAAAATAATTGCTTCATTCATGCCATCTAAATAATATTTTATTGTTAAATTATGATTTTTTCGTGACATAAAATTTTTTTTAATCAAATATGATAACATTATTTAACGTCATAAAAATATGCCGACTACATATATTTTTAGTAAGGAAAAAATAGATATGGATTGCATTAGTTGTTATCCCTTATCTTACAAACATAATGAGAATGATAAGTTAAACAGCATATATATAGATCCATTATCCGTTAGATCATAGGAAAACTATAGATAATTAAACACGTAGAGTGAAGTAGTAAGTCGTATCTTACAACAGGCACAAACGAGAAAATTGGGACTTAGTAATGACTTTACGTCTTCCTCTAAATATGAAGAGAATTTTAATTCGTTTTTCTTTTTTACTTTAGTGAAAAGGAACTTCTTTTCAATATGGAGACGGTCTTTTGTGGTATCGTAGAGTTAGTAGAACGCAATTATATAGGATACAAACAAGGAACACCTTCTGTCTGTCATTTTTAAAAAGAAATAAATGATACAATGCTATGGTTGTGCAATTATCGTATTAATCTAAACTATTAAAGGTATATTATATTCGGCCACCATTAGGAAGTTTTATCTTTTAAAGTATGTCCCATTTTCATATCAGGCCGCATGCTGATAAATGACATCCCAGTCGAATAATTATAAATAAAGAATTTATCTCTTTCTAATTATCATTTTACAATTTATAAATGATATAAAAGATAGAAGAAAATGCTGAATTATCATTATAATATAATTTCTATGCTCTTAAATTAAACTTAATAACGCCATTTTTCGAGTTTGTCGGGTTTTTTTCTCTTTAATCTTTCAGGAAACAATCGATTCCTATCTGAAAAATCGATTATTTTTATTTCGATTTTATTGCGAAAGGTCAAAAATTCCACACGATTGTCTTATTCAAGTAAGCAAGATAAGCCAGAACATGGCAGTTGTCAGTAATAACCAGTCAAAATCGTGTCTTAGCAAACCTTGTACATTCGCTAGATTAGTTAAAATTGTCAACGAATCCTTGAAATACTTTAATTTTCATAAATAAGTAAATATAATAATTTTATTCTAAAGTTCGCCGAGTACATTCTTATCCAATTAAAAAACAATAGGAGTTATAAATTATCAGGTTTAATCATGTTTAAGGCATTAATAATGAAATGGAAAACACAGCGCGCATGGTTTTTCCAGATCCTGCGAAAAGTCATCCATTCTCTTCTTAAATGTCATACCTTATTTTATTATTTTTTTGCGTTAAAGAAGTAGGAATTAGTAATTTTGACATCATATCCGGTTATTGTTCGTTTTTAATTACACTCGTAAATTAACTGTCAGCTGGTTTTTACGCGGTAGAAAGAAAATTTTGAATATTTTAATATATACTAAATATATCTTGGCCCCTTTCCAAGTTACTTATAACAATAACTTTAAAATATATATTAAAGTAACATTATTATTATTATTATTATAATCCCTAATGACATCTTTTCTAAATTACAGAATATCATTCTATACGAATATCTTCCTTTGTTTCTGGGGGAAGCAGTCGAACCTTATAAAGGATATAAACCGGATTTACATCCAGGTATAAGTCACGTGTTTCAGTCTGCAGCTTTTAGATTTGGTCACACCACGGTACCGCCCGGGATATACAGAAGGTAAATGAAGTAAATTAAATATAGAAAACAAATCATTTTTAAAATTGAGAATTCATTAAATTAGAAAAAAAAGATTTATTAAAATATTTAAAGATATTTGTCCTTGATTTTTAAAAATTAGGTCGTTTGCTATAAACTATACAAGTTTTGTTTGAGTTCAGCACATTTTCTGATAAAGTAGAACTATTCTTTTGTTGATAAATGGGATGATTTGACATTCATCCTTGTAACTACATTTCGCTATTTCACCAGAAATTTTATAATCATTGTAAATTAATTAATTAATTAATTTTTACCGGTTAAAGGTCATTAAAAGGCTTTTACATCATTTATATAAAAGATGCCCTTGTAATAAATTATAAATTTATAAATATATCTTTATTTTTTTTAAGAAACGGACAGTGTAATTTCCGAACAACGACTACAGGTTTTCCAGCAATACGTTTATGCTCTACTTGGTGGGATTCGGAGGTAAATATCTCGTTTAGTATCACTTTAAAGTATTTTACTCGCTTACATTTATTATACCATTAAATAATAAATAAATATATATTTAAAATATTTTCATTATTATATCATTATTCATTCCTGCGTAATTTATAATCCAATATTCGGGCGTTTAACTAGTTATGAAAATGAAATCGAATCATAAAAGACGACCACCCCTATAATTGACAATGAACTTGTCGATGAAAATTAGCTTACTGCGCACGTTCCGACAATTTAATTAATTCGGACTATGTATTTCGGACTATACGTAATTTCGTACAAAACCAATGGTAATGTGAAAATTCGAGTCGTCATTGTTAGTTTATTTAAATAAAAAAATTAAACGTTTTTAAATTGAAATAATAAAACAATTCATTAAATTAAAAATTTCATTAAAAAATTATTAAGATATTTCGTCACTTCGAGATTAAAAGTACAAGTCGTGAACTAATAAAGGAAGCTTTGTAACATTTTTTGAATATTTAATAAGTTAAAGTGAATTATTAAAAATAAAATGTAAAATTTGTATTAATTTATTTATATTTTCAAAATTTTTATAAAATAATCTATATGCCTTTCTGATCGTCACAAGATGGCGCTGTCATTTTTGTATATTTTAAATTTGACTTAATTATTTCCAAATTAATCAAAGAAGAACATATTTTATTTCTTTCTTGAAAATATTCCTAGCTTTTGCAAGTAATAAATACCCCATTTTATTTTAAAAAATGTGTTATTCTACTCCCAATCATTTACACCTTTCAAAATATATATATACTCTTGATTATGTAATAATATTCTGTAAATAAGAATTTCGGAAAGTTAAAATTATATAAAATTTTAAAAAAGTAAAAGCTATTTAAATAAATTTAACATTCTCTATTGGTTTTACAGGAAATTTTGCATGAAACTGGAGTAGAAGAATTGTTAATGGGAATGGCATCACAAATAGCGGAAAGAGAAGACAATGTCCTTTGTTCTGACGTTCGGAGTAAGTTTGTTTTTTTTATTTTTTTTACTAATAGGGTATCATTGAATTAGGCTATTCTTCTGTTTAAAATTATTGACTGGAGGCAATACCCGGGATGTAATTATTAAGCGTAGTTGAAAACCCATTATAATATCTTATATTTGTCGATGGATGGCGCGTGTTTTTACATCATTTTGACGTCATTTACTGATTTTTTACTTCAAGCAGTCGTAGTAGTGACGTCACATTGACGTAATACTAGACTACTGAAACTCAGTATTTTAATTAGTGTAAAATTAATCTGTATTTTATGAGATTTTTTAAATAATTTTCATTCTCCAAAAAATTCCAATAAAAATAAATTTAAGCTTGTTATATGATGAAATTAAAAGGAAAAGAAAAGAAGCGTAAAAATAATTTAAATATAATCTTAGAAAATTTTAATATCTTTAGTAGAAATATATAGTTACTACACATAAGAAAATAGATATTATTTCGAAAATATAAGTTAATAAATTAATTTACATTGTTTAAAAATCTTAAAATGACTTATAAATTTCTTTTAAAAATAATCCTAAAGTTCCTGCATATCAAGAACTGGTGAAATGTAGGTCAAATGCCGTAAAAGGTCAACAGTTTTGACCTGGCGTACGACTCTTCGTGCTTAGATAGAGATCTTCAATCATGATAAATCTACAGACGCATTCATAAAATTTTTATGTAGTAAAGCAATGTTTTGTTTATGTTACAACATAAGGTGCTTGGTCTCTAGCTTCATTCCATAATTAAACTTTTGTATTTTTTTATATTTAGACAAGTTATTTGGCCCTATGGACTTTATGAGAAGAGATTTGGGAGCTTTGAATATCATGAGAGGACGTGATAATGGAATCCCTGATTATAATACAGTTCGACAAAGTTTTCAATTACCTCGCCTCACAAAATGGGAAGATATTAATCCAGGTTTAGCAAACGAGAAACCAGATGTATGATATTGGCACTCTTATGATATTTTTCTTGTATTTCCATCTTATTAATTATATTATTTAATTTATAGTTGTTTGAACAATTGAAAACTCTATACGAAGACATAAATAAAATCGATTTATTCGTTGGAGGGATGTTAGAAACTGAATTAAGTGGTAGACCTGGTATATTGTTTCGAACCATCATCAAACAACAATTTGAAAGATTGAGAGATGCGGATAGATTTTGGTTCGAAAATCCGCAAAGTGGGTAGGTAGAAATGCATTTTTATAGTAATTTTTTTATATAAATTTATTTCTATTATATAGTAAAATATTATTTTTAGCGTATTTACTCCGGAAGAGGTAGCGGAAATAAGGCGTATTACTATGTACGATGTTATCATTAACGCCACTTCTATACGTATTGGTCAGATACAGAGGAATGTCTTTTCGTGGCACAGAGGTCAGATTATTTATTTATATATTTTATTATTTTTTTCTTAATAAAATATAAATTTTTCTGTTTTTTCTTAATAAATTGCATTAGTTAGTAAATTATCATTATACGAATTTTCCGCTTTGAATTTCTCCGCACCGCAAACTAAATGATGACTAAATATTGAAAATTGCTATAATTTTTTCTTGTTGAGAAAAATTACAGTAATTTTTAAAAGTGATTATTAGGAAATAATTTGTATTTCTAAAACTTGTTTTTGATAATTTATGTTTAATTTTAAGATATATTTTAACTTACTGTAGCCTGCAGCCAAACCTTTGTAATGATATTTATTGTGTTCTACTTCAATATTGCATGACATACTTCATTAGATTTATTTAAAAAATCGAAGGTTTTATCGATCATTATATAAATTGATTATCTTATTATATGTAGGTGACCCTTGTCCACAGCCGTCCCAATTATCTTCATCTATGATGGAACCGTGCGCCATATTGGACGGATACGATTATTTTCATGGAAATGAAGTGGCATATATTTATTCTTGCATAGCCTTGACTTTCATTCCTATCAGTAAATATACATTTATTCTATTCTGTAAATCATATTTTTATGATAAATTAAATAAATAAATGTTTACTTTCGAAGTTTGCGCCGGTTTGGGTTACGGTGTTATTAAGTTGCAGAATAAAAGGAGAAGGAAGATACGATTGAAGCAACACATCAAAATGGAGAAACATTTCGAAAAATTGGGTATTAAATTTATAACTTTTCGGTTTTCAAATATATACATTTTAATTTTAAAAAAAGTTTAGTATGCATAAATAAATATGAAGGAATTTCAGATGTTAAGGAATGGCTACATCAGAACCACAAGCGCGAAGTGCAAGTGAAAATAGGTCCAGATGAATCACTTTCGACTATCAATCGTAAAGGTGAGATACTACGCAAAGTGGATTTCAAATCAGTTAATGCTCTAGTCGTAGAAGAAACTCAAGATGTTAATAAGAAACCAATGGTTTTGATCAGATCTCCAAGAGATCACGACTTGGTATGATTACGAATTAATGATCCATTCTTAGCATTTTCTATTAATGTTATTGAAATGTATACGTATGTTACAGGTGCTCCAGTTTGTTAATTCACAAGTACGTCAAAAATTCATTAGTAAGTTAGAAAGTTTTCTATTGAGCAAGAAAAAGACTTTAGAAATTATAAAAACCTATAGAGATGTTATGTTAACAAATGCCGAGACCAAAGAAAAGAGACAAAAAAGATTAGAACATTTCTTCAGAGAAGCTTACGCTTTAGTGAGTTGGAGCAATTTTATTACTTGTTGTCATTATGATTCGACTGTCTGCTATTCGGTATTCAGCCATTAAGATTTCTTTCTTTGCACGGTTAATTCTAAAAAAGAAAACCTCATTGCTAACATCTCAGAGTTTTAATTTTTTATTGCATATTTTTATTTTTTTTATCTGATTAGTTTTTCCATTTTTTTTCACGTTCTTTATTTGACATAACCATCTTACACCGACTGCTTAGTAAGCCATATTGTTAATATCCAGCTTACACTTGATATTTCTATTAATATTCAAATATTATTATTGAAAATTTTATATAGTGATTCTTATATAATTTTCAAATATCATTTAATATATTAACTCACTTTCGATATCTTCATTCAAATGGAGCTACACAGGTTTAAACCCTCCCCATCGACACACACAAAAAAAACAAATTTATTTTTTCGAACTTCAAAACGTTGTTTTTAAAACATTTATGACGGCAAATATGATTTTATTGGACCGTTCATGATACAATCGTCGTGCATATGTTAAAATGTATTTATTAATTATTCAAATATTTATAATTTTATACTAACTCAAGATTATAAATCCAGAAGAACCGAAAGAGTGGTATTTGGATCCAGTGTTGTCTTCATTCGGATATAAAAATATCATTGCAGTGATACAAAAATGTAGTAATATCCAGATCACTTCTAATTTATTCTCTAATTCTAGTTTAATATCTTCATTAATACTCAAATTTGTATTTGAACGTACAGAGTGCCCATAAGTCTCGACCCACAGGAGTTACATTGATCTTTGTTTATTCTGTTATACTGTAGTTTTATCCTGTTAAACTCATCAGAAACTTTACGTTGACTGCAGGTTCTCCACCATCAAAATAACTTAAATTCCTTTACTCCTTACTCGGCGCCATGCTTTACCTATAAAAGAATAAACAAAGATCAACATAAATCTTTATAGTTCTAGACTTATGGAATATTATGCATATTTATTTGGATAGTAATTCCAGATAAATCCCGTAGTTTCAGAATCAAATCTATGTTCTGAGTATTTCTTAATGCTTAAATTTACGAATCTAAATTTTATATACAACATATCTTACATCTCGATGTAAGATATGTTGTATATAAAAAAACGTCCTCAATGTAATTTCCAATATTCCGAACAGCGTAAAGATTTTAGATGATCTACTTGTTTACTTTATTTTATCTTACTTTTCTAGACTTTTGGTCTGAAACCAGGAGAGAAACGAAAGTTGGAAGACGTAGGTAATGACGTTATTATGGTAATGAGGACATCTTTATCTAAAAAAGAATTCGCTGAAGCTTTAGGCATGAAAGCGGATTCGTTATTCGTTAAGCAAATGTTCAATTGCGTGGATAAAGATAAAGATGGGAGAATAAGTTTTCAAGAATTTCTGGATACCGTCGTTTTATTTTCTAGAGGTGAGTCGAATGTTTATATTAAAACAATTTTTTATAATTAATAAAATGTATGCGTTTTAAAATATATAAACTATAAAAATTTGTCATTTATATTTTTGGTTTAGTTATTGAAACTGTAAAATTAATAATTATATAATACAAAAGGATTTACTTCAGTTTTCGAAGCAATAATAAAATTTCAAATATTTGAATATTCATCAGACAAGATTAGATCTTGTCTGATGAATATTCAAATATTGACAATTTTTTTTAAAATCTTGTTATATTCATTAATCTTCAGATATGAATAAGGTTTATATGTTTGTAGAATAATAGTAAAACATAGTTTACGACACCATTATCGATGCCAAACTAAGAAAACAGAGTCGTTGCCCCAAGACGTAACTCTGATTTGTGTCTGAAAATATTTCGAGAAATCATCACCGTTCTTCACCCCTCAATTATTGTCCATATTCCCGAAACATCAACTCGCAAATAGTCAAAAATCTATCTTGAATGCTGTTTACTACAAACTTCATTGCTTCGGGAGTAAATCTAATAATGGAGTTCGATGTCAATGCACTTTCTATCATACATCGTTAGTGTGATAAGTGATAAATTCCTCGAATTAAAGCTTTTTTTTTTTTTTAAAGTTAATAATAGAGAAAAATCTTTCTTCGAGGAATCTTTTAATTTAACGCTTTTATGATTTTAATTTCGTAGGTAAAACAGAGGATAAATTAAGAATAGTTTTCGATATGTGTGATGATGATGGAAATGGCGTGATAGATAAACAGGAATTGACAAAAATGTTGCGTTCTCTCGTCGATATCGCTAAAACGAATTCCTTGACCGAGAACCAAGTTATGGAATTAATTCAGGGGATGTTTGCAGCTGCTGGTCTAGAAGATAAAGAAGAATTAAATTACGACGATTTTAAAGTTATGATGAAAGAATATAAAGGAGATTTTATAGCTATTGGTTTAGATTGTAAAGGTGAGTCATTTCTTCATATTTATTATATTAAAAATTTATATGTTTTCTACATAACATAGTTGCAATTCAAACGCAGATCAAGTTAGTTAATAATTTATATTAGCTAATAATAGCTAAATAATAGCTAAATTTTACTTCTTTAAATAATAGCCAAGGAATGAAATAATAGTTTATTTCATTCCTTGGCTATTATTTAAAGAAATAAAATAAAGTGTACCTTTCGCAAATTGAGTAAAACGTTATAAATTTGAATCTACAATAATAAAATAATTAAAATAAACAGCAATAAAACGTTGTACACTATATCAAAAAGTAACATTGCATACTGCGTGAGAAATTCCTATACTGTACATTAAATTAAAATCATTCTAAGTTAAATAAAACGTTTCATAAATTTAAATTTAAAAAATTACAATAAAGCTAATTTTATATTTTATATTAATATTATAATATTAATATATAATAAAAATAATAATAACATTATAATATTACGCGTTAAAATGTGTTAAAATTAACTTGAAAATATAATATAGAAATACGATATTCAATAATTCGGATGCATGTAGAAATAAATATAAAATTTTAAAATATAATAGGATATTTTAAAATTTATTTCGTTAATTCGAGTAACGTATACAGTACACTCATATATGACGTATAACATACGCATACATTCCAACAAATGGACAAAACTCAGAAGAATAATTGGACTAAATCGAACCAGAAACATAATATAATTCTTATTTCAAGCATAATTATGATAAAATTTTGATATTAAATCGAGAAAATCAACATAATTAGACATCTGCAATTTATAAAAAGAAATTATATATAAGTATGACTACAATAAAAAAGTATGGGCTACATTCCATTGCTTTAGGCCACTTCTAGTCGAGGACCTGATATTTTTGTAAAATTACAGTATTTATATAATTTTTATTTTTTTAAACAAAATTTAAGACTAAAAATATCTAACTAAGATATGTATCGATAATTCGCCTTAAACTTTAAATACTTGAAAATCTTGAAAATATTTTACTCCTTACAAAAATAGGAAACGAGTCATTATCAACTGAAGCATCTCGATATTTTCAGACAATTCAAAGAATTCGGAATTGACTTTATCTCTGAAAATCGCCTATCAGCTGTAGAATCTTCAACAATTTGTATGTAAATAACGACTTAAAGAGAATCGTGAAAACGTGAATTTATTTATTTTTTAATCATTGGAAAGAATGTTATATAATCCCCGTATTTATAGAGTTCCCGTGTAATTTAACTAGTCGGATGATAAACTAGATCTTTGTTAGTTTGCTACTGATTAATCTCTTTCATGTAACTTATTTACTGAACTGAGAATCGCTAACTCCAATTTACCTTCTATCAGAAATAACCATCTTGTGTACAGGAATAAAGTAATTATACAGCTCTTAAATGGTTAATTTTCTATATAAGAGTCTATAAAAATTTTACAGAGAACTTTTTTTTATATATATTGTCTGTTAGAAGAAACTAAATGTGAAAGAAGAAAATTTAGCATGACCATGCACAAACTTTTTCATACGAAAATTGTTGCATAAGAATAATAAATTTTCATTTAGTAATTTTCTGACTTTTATAAACAGATATAATCGGGTAAAAACAGATTTTTTTTTGGCAAATTAGTCTGCAGTTATGGTGAAATTCTTTCATAGAAACTAATTTTTGTCAGAGGTATGTCGTGGGATTGGTTTAGGTGTGCCACAAAATGCCTTATTACTAAGTTTATTTCATACAAATAAAAGATAAAAATAAATATATATTTTTGTCAATAAAACAAAAATATTTTTCTCTTCATTAACAGAAATTAATTTAGATATTTCATTTATATTAATAAAAAAAATTTTTAGAGAAGGTGTCGTGACCTCTCCTCTCCTCTCGTAGAACACTAAGAGGTTCCGTAATAAAAGATTTGTAAAAACGCAGTTTTTAATTATGAAATATAGTGTTTATTTTACAGCTTATTTCAATAAATATAATTTTATAAATTTTCAATTTTGTTGTTAATTAAACTAAACATTGTATATTAAAAAAATCTGGCGCAAATCTTGTTTCAATTGTTCACTTGTTGATCCGTTTTTCTATTATATTTCTTTGCTTGAACAATTTAATGGATGAAAGTTTATACATTAGTGCATTAAATTTTTAAGCTTAAGCTACATATTTTACACAGTAGAAGTCTATAATCTATGACATATACCAGATTTTCCTAATGATATAAATTTTTATATTATTTTAGATCATTGGCTCTTAACCTTTTCCGCTTTCCGCACCTTAAATTTTTAAAACTTACTTTTAAACTCTCATGAAAAAAAAAAACAGTTTTTTATATAAGGGAATAGGTCGTACCATGTTCTCCCGTGTATTTTAGCCTAAGTTTAGATACAACTAAGCAATTGAGAAAGAAAAATTCATCTTTGTCTGTTCTAGATTAGGGTTTTTAACAGAAAAAATACGTAATTGTATATTTCAATTTGATATTAAGATTTTATTTTAAATAACAGACTGTTCTTAATGAAAAAAAAGACGAAAAAGTTTTTAAAAATTCAATCAAAGGAAGAAAAAAAAAAACATTTATTTCCAAGAAATGGCATCTTGCATCCTCGGGATTCATGCATCCCAGGTGAAGAACTTTTGTTTTAAATGATCTCAGAACACTCGAGACACGCTAAAGTATAAAATTTCGGCATCAGTTTATTCACAAAAATCACAATTCATTAATTAAAATGTTGAAACTAATCTTTAACATAAATGAATTCAATTAAAACTTCAATCATATGAAGCTATTATGTTAATGATAAAATATACAATTATATTTAGTATTTTACTTCGAGACAATATTAAATTAACAAAATTTAATTTTCAATATTTTAAAACTTTCAAAAGCAACAACCTTAATAATAATAGCTCGAGACAGTTCGTGTAATTTTTAAAGGAAAAAAAAAAGTTTTTGTCGGAGTGTAAATGCGAATCAGTTTATAATGAAGGAGTTGACGAACCGTTAATGGCTTATTCCACGTAACAGAATCATATAACAACACTCAAATACTGATTCCAAACTTGGTATATGGGTCCGGTTTTGTCCAGTCGACCGTTTTCGTACGAGCTTATCCCGTTTTGCATGGGTGTAGTGACCACTAGGTACCATTTATACTTAGCTCCGAGGCCGAAGATTGTCACAATTTGATTTATACAAGTTTAATGATAAGTTTTTCTTTTTAAAATTTAACTTCGTTCCTAATAACTTCATTAAATTAAAGAGTGTAAATTTTTCTCTCTATTCGTGTGGGAGGAATTGTGAATTTTAAGATAAAGTCTCAGGAGTGATGTATAGAAAGTGTCACTTTCGCCAGAAATCAAGGTCATTAAGAAAACTTTCCCATATAATATGTTTATAAAGGAACGAAGTAATTAAAGCCAGATATGATTACAAAGAAAAAAATATCAAGTTTTCGACTGACAAACTTTCTTTTTGATCACCGTTTCGCATTGTCAAGCAGTAAAGGTTGACAGAAAAACTGGAAAGCAGATTGGAAATCCCCCATTCTCGATGCAATACTCGTTTTCTTTTTTCTAGTTAATTCTGTTATTACTTGTTTTCCTGCACAATATAATCCGGTTCATTAAAATTGTCATTTCTATAATTATTTTATGATCTAAATAGATAAATGTATATAAATTTTAAAAACAAGTTTTCTGACAGTTATTACGGTAATTTTTTTATATTCAAATCATCTCATTCTTAATGAAATTTAAAATTCCTTCATACAATTATTATATAAACCTAGAAACAGTTTAGAATTATAAAAATATTGAGGTAATTCTGTAGTACAGTCAACCCTCCGAACAACAGCCATTGACCAGAACGTAAAAAATGATCGTTGTTTGAAGATGGACGTCATTGGAGGTTCGATTGCATTACATTTTCAGTTCGCATACAAATTAGAAAACTAATTGAAGAAATACTACATTTTACACGTAATTGTTCAGTTAAATAACGTTAAACTTCAAAATTAAATAGATAAAATAGTCCAAAAATACGCTTATCGACTTCATTAATACTTTATAATTCAAAATGCTTTAAATTAGTACTTTATAAAGATCTGATATTAACGTACAAACTTAATTTATTCAGCTTATTTACAGAATACAGAAAAAAATCGTATCGAGTTTTCCTCTATTGCTCTAAAATATGTACCGAAAACAATGGATATTGTTGAGAATCACGAAAAAATCCATAACAAAGTTACGAAACACTGAAACAATTTTCTATTTGTCTATTTGTAGATTCTATAAGGATTCAGGAAGTTGTGAATTGTGTAAGTATTAACAGAAGATAAATTGATTATAAGTTGTTATCAGTTTGTTTACAAAATAAGGAAGATAAACAATATAATGTGAACATTATTTACTTGGCTATAAATATTTGACAAGCTTGGAAATTCTTCGTAGATTTAAGGATGAGGAGGAGTTAAGTAACATTTATTACTCAAATTTCCTATCAAAATTAGTTATAATGTGAATCAAATGGAATTTTAAGGGAAATAATAGATAAACCAATTAAAAATTCATGTAATTCTAATACAAATTAAGCAGAAGTTTCGAATTATGAAAGTTTATTTACGTAAAAGGGGGGAATAATTTAAGAAATTATAGGAATTGATGCGTAATACCAGGACATCAATGGTACCGAAATTTTTTCAGACAATTATATTATATACGGTATATACCATATAAATAATATTCATAATGTTAATTTTCACTACCGTTGATTTTATAAGGTCAATGATCAAATTTGCATCCAACACACAAAGGAGTAAAAGGGTAGATAACGTCTCGAGACCTTGAAAAGTTCGGTAACACTCAAATGCGGTACTTTTCGTGCAGGTTATTTATTTATAGCTCGGGGGCTGATGACAACAGACTTGTCTAACATCTACCCCATATCAGTTTTGTCGAAATTACGTACCGTATATCAGCCGGAACTGTGATTTACTTTTATAATGATCAAATTTCTATTGTTGTAAATTTTACTGAGAAATGAAATCGTATCCGGTCGGGTCATTAATGATGATTAAGATTTTATACTAAGGAAATTACGTTACACACAATCGTAACTTGTCGCGATTATATTAGCTCTCTACAAAACGTAATTCTAGAAAGTTTAAGGCGTGAAAAATAGATAAAAAAATCAAGTAATGTCTGTAATAACCTATAATTACACGAATTAATTAATTGATTATTAATTAATTAATTATAGAAGTCGTTACAGTCTACTTATTGCAAATTTACTTGAAAAAGTTTAAATGAATTTTGGATAAAATCTTAAGTCCATGAATAATTTATTTAATGGATAACTCCTTTATCTGATGGACAACGCGTGTGTATATGATTATGTGGTGGGTATGGGCCATTGTTTTTCTTAATAAATTTTTGTTTGACGAAATTCGTTCCTTAACTCGAATGTGGTTGTTATCGGGCAAAGTTCGATAGTCGAGTTGTGTTGTTTCCACACCCTTGTGTTGTTACATTCGTCATATTTTTATAATCCGGTTCTGCACATCTATACTTTAGAATTGGTAATTTTTCTTCACCTTGACCGATAGTTCAAATGTCACGGTTATTCGTGTTATTTAAGATCTCTGACTCGGGATCTGTACCGATTAATGGAGGGTACAGTGTACTAGGGACGAGGACCCGGAGAACATACGGTGATAATTTCCTGTAAGAGCCAAAACCACGTATTACACGAATGCATGGAAAGTTGCAAATTGCTAAGTTTCAAAATGTTTGAATGGTAATTCTGGCGTAAACATAACCCCGAGACTATTTCTGGTGTCAGAAACAAACCATAGACTCACGATCTACTCATTATTTTAAATCTTTCCATTTAGAACCTAACAGGAGAGTCCTTCAAAGTTAAATCTAATGTAACTATAGAAAGATATTTTATACCTTATATTTTAATATGACTCTATTTTAATAGTAATTTGACATTAATAAGTATTATAATTTAACCTGTTGGAACCAAAAGAGTAATCCTAAGACGTTCCCAGAATCTGTTTTTATAATAGAACCGTTTATATTAATACTTAATGTTTTTATTTAGAGGTCTAATTTAATATAATCAAAAATTTAACGTTGTGGCTATGACTCCAAAGGAGTAAGACACAAAGATGCTTCAAAACTCCCTAAACATTACAATGTTGCAATTTGGAAAGAACTAGTTTGAGGAAAATATTTGAATAAATGTGCTCAAGAAGTCCTTTTTAATTAAATCGGTCTAACTAATGTTTTAGCAATATTCCATTCATAATGAAATTAAACAGGTCAAAATCCAATACCTATTTTTGGAATCAAAATATTAAAATTTGGAATAAATTTTAGTACTTAAAACATATTAAAGTAAAACATAATTTAGTTGAATCGAGATAAAACTATGAAATATGTTTTAGACAATGTTTTTGATATGTTGCAATATGAATTTAAGTTTGAAAATTCCAGGAAAATCCGAAAAACTTTTTGATGTCTATTAACAAATAATGAGCATATTTAAAGATAATAAAAATTTTAAAAAGAATTACAATAAATTCTGTTCCTAAAAACACAAATCTAGATTTTATAGACATTCAACAAAGACTGTAATGAAAGGCAAATAATAAAGAAACGTAACGAAAGTTTCCTCAAACAAAATATATATTTTCCTGGTTACTTTGTTGTTATATTTCTTTAATTTCTAGAAATTTTTGAAACTCAAATAAAGTGTTGATGTTGTATTTCACGCTTCCTATATTCGTGACAAGTTCCCAAGAAAATTACCCAAAAACATTTTATTTTTTGAATATTTTTATACCCGGAAGGAATGACGTAAATTAATTAGTGACTTATCGCTTAAATCTTGAAAGAATCTTGAAATCTTCACAAGGGCNATACTGCGTGAGAAATTCCTATACTGTACATTAAATTAAAATCATTCTAAGTTAAATAAAACGTTTCATAAATTTAAATTTAAAAAATTACAATAAAGCTAATTTTATATTTTATATTAATATTATAATATTAATATATAATAAAAATAATAATAACATTATAATATTACGCGTTAAAATGTGTTAAAATTAACTTGAAAATATAATATAGAAATACGATATTCAATAATTCGGATGCATGTAGAAATAAATATAAAATTTTAAAATATAATAGGATATTTTAAAATTTATTTCGTTAATTCGAGTAACGTATACAGTACACTCATATATGACGTATAACATACGCATACATTCCAACAAATGGACAAAACTCAGAAGAATAATTGGACTAAATCGAACCAGAAACATAATATAATTCTTATTTCAAGCATAATTATGATAAAATTTTGATATTAAATCGAGAAAATCAACATAATTAGACATCTGCAATTTATAAAAAGAAATTATATATAAGTATGACTACAATAAAAAAGTATGGGCTACATTCCATTGCTTTAGGCCACTTCTAGTCGAGGACCTGATATTTTTGTAAAATTACAGTATTTATATAATTTTTTATTTTTTTTAAACAAAATTTAAGACTAAAAATATCTAACTAAGATATGTATCGATAATTCGCCTTAAACTTTAAATACTTGAAAATCTTGAAAATATTTTACTCCTTACAAAAATAGGAAACGAGTCATTATCAACTGAAGCATCTCGATATTTTCAGACAATTCAAAGAATTCGGAATTGACTTTATCTCTGAAAATCGCCTATCAGCTGTAGAATCTTCAACAATTTGTATGTAAATAACGACTTAAAGAGAATCGTGAAAACGTGAATTTATTTATTTTTTAATCATTGGAAAGAATGTTATATAATCCCCGTATTTATAGAGTTCCCGTGTAATTTAACTAGTCGGATGATAAACTAGATCTTTGTTAGTTTGCTACTGATTAATCTCTTTCATGTAACTTATTTACTGAACTGAGAATCGCTAACTCCAATTTACCTTCTATCAGAAATAACCATCTTGTGTACAGGAATAAAGTAATTATACAGCTCTTAAATGGTTAATTTTCTATATAAGAGTCTATAAAAATTTTACAGAGAACTTTTTTTTATATATATTGTCTGTTAGAAGAAACTAAATGTGAAAGAAGAAAATTTAGCATGACCATGCACAAACTTTTTCATACGAAAATTGTTGCATAAGAATAATAAATTTTCATTTAGTAATTTTCTGACTTTTATAAACAGATATAATCGGGTNTGTAATGGATATAATGAATATGACATGAATATAATTATAATAAGCACTTTAATATTTTAAAATTATGCATTATTTTATAGGTGCAAAGCAAAATTATTTAAAAACAGCTATTTCGTCATTATCGATGGGGGTAAAAATATAATGGGTCACAGAAAACTATTAGAGCTGTGTCACCCACAGCTGTAGGAGCTGTAGGGATTTGACTCACTATATTTTTATATTGTAATGGATATAATGAATATGACATGAATATAATTATAATAAGCACTTTAATATTTTAAAATTATGCATTATTTTATAGGTGCAAAGCAAAATTTTCTAGATACATCAACTAATGTAGCTAGGTGAGTTGTTATCTTCATCTTACCTAACGTATGAGAAAGAATAAGCGACGTGTATAATCATCATAAAAATTGTTATTTTCAGAATGACAAGTTTTCAAATAAGTCAACCGGCAGAAAGTCAAAAGGGATTAATTCGAAAAAAATGGAATTATTTATCGACATTTTTAGAAGAATATCGTCAACATATTTTTTATTTATTCGTCTTTTACGTTATTACACTTGTACTATTTTTAGAAAGATTTATATGTAAGTTCATTATCTTGTTTGCCATATTTTAAATTAATAATAATAAATAATGTAAAAAAATACACGCAACTTGTTTCGTGTAAAGACTATACCATAATTGACTTATTTCAATGTAATTTATTTATTTTTTTATTTTTTTTAAGTTTTTGTTCCAGTTTATTTACTATTGTTTGGATGTTATTAGGAAAATCCTAGACAAAACACATTGTGTAAGATAGACATCTCCCTGACATACATATCGTAAAATACACGTAAAAACGTATTAAACTTTAAATCGTTGACTTGTTTCAAAGTTAATAAATATCACGAATTTACAGAAATTTATTTTTAATATGTTTATAAAATGGTATAATTTAAAACTTTTCGTATAAAAAGAATACCGAAACACGCAATTCATACCTAAGGGGATGTTCATAAATTTCTAAAATACCATCGAAAATTTGGTCAATGGACAAATGGTCCTAGGGGTGTGTCACCCTCCACCCTTTCCCCGACCTAGTAGCCCTGATAAATGACGTCATTATCAGGGCACCATGTAGTGCCAAGGTTGCAAGGGTGGGGTCCGTAAACATTCACGCGCTTCAATGAGAAAATTTGGTACAAGGGCTTTTCCGAAACTACTTTCTATTTATGATTCTAAATGTTAAAAAATTCAATAAAAAATAAATAAATTCCATCAAGTTTTAATTAATTAAGATTTTTTTTGTTCTTTTTTTTTACAGTCTATTCATACTTTACGGAACATATGGATCTACGACACGTTATGGGATTAGGTATCGCTTTCACTAGAGGTTCAGCAGCTTCCTTATCTTTCTGCTATTCTTTGTTGCTCTTAACTATGTGCAGGAATCTAATTACTAAGTTACGAGAACTTCCTGTTCATCAGTATATACCGTTAGATTCTCATGTGCAGTTTCATAAGATTGTTGCACTAACGGCTCTTGTATTCACACGTAAGTAACTTGTTAGCATTAACATTCGTTATATTATTAATAAAATAAATCCCGGAAGCAAAACACATTTCTATATTTTTCTCCTAAACTTTTCAAGTTTAATTCTATTTTCTACTGCCATAAGTTATTAAATATTTAAAAATGAAAAAATAAAAATCTAATTTTACTCGCCTTAGAAGTTCTGTATTTTCAATAATTTATAAAGAAATCCTTTTTTTATTTTCTCACAATACATTTGAGATATAATTTTAAATTTTCTCCCTTAATTAAACAAGTATACAAGAAACGTGAGGGGAAAAAAGCGTAAAACTTTAACATTTTATCAACATAAATATTGTATTCTGAACAATTTAAATATATATGTTCGTACGTTGCCTATGATTAATTTAATATGCTTGTGTCAATCGAAAAACGGATAAATGATTTTAATGTCAAGAACTCGTTATCAAGCGAGGATATCTAAAAAATTTTTAAATGATATAACCAGAAACAGCTGATGACCGGATGACCGAGAAGGTTAAGGAGGATCTGCTACTGCTTTGAAGGACCCGGGATCGAATCAGGACGAACAACCCCAGGAATTCTTCTTAGGTGATCTGAATCGGATATGTGGAGTCCCCGTCTCTCATCATCCGGTCGCCCCCATTGTAGACCTAGCTGAACCCGCGATAAGTATGGGAAAAAAAGGCCCTTTTAGTACCACAAGACGGAAATGAAAAACGAAGAAAAAATGTAGGATTGATGGGATAAGACATAGTGGTAATCTGCAAAGGGGGCTGTCTCCCGGGCTACTAATCTCTATATCGGTGTTAGAAACGAAAAAAATTCAGAAAACTCTACGTGGCTAACCTGTTGGTCAGGTACAAACCCATAACCAACTAACAGTGTTTAGTGGTTTTATGTACAGTACTTGGCCACTAATTGGGGAAAGGAAACCGATATTTTTTATGCTTGTTTTTGCTTGATATATCAATCATGTTGAATCTTCTAAGTTAGAATGGATGGTCATTGCAAAATGGAAAGATAAAATATGTAATAAATAATAAAACTATCAAAACACTTACATTTTTTAAATCTATTTTTTTTAACTGAGAAAGGGAAATTTTTAAAGATAACCTTTCATAACTTTAAATTAATATAGAAAAACATGAATTTGAAGTACAAAAAAAGAAACTATTGCATTTAATTTTGATGTCATTCGAAGCAGTAATTGTATAAAACTGTCAAAAAGTTTCGTTTACTTACTGATCAAATTTATAATACAAAAAATACATTCAATAAAAATAAAAAAAATGAAATTTCCGTTTCTAAATTTAGAAAACATTTGAAAGAGTTTTGTTTTTTGTAATCGATCACCACCCAGAAAATAGAGGATTAAAAAATGAATCATATTTCCAGTTAAAATTTTGCCTCACCTGTTATAACAAGTTTTCACGATTAGGGATATTCCTCATCAATGTCAAAAACTTTCGTTTTCTCATTCGCAAATACATTTTATGATTTATTTTTAGATTGGTAATTTCCCTAAAGGGAATTTTCTTGGTAAGTTCTATCTCGAAAGAATTGCCATAGAATATACAATTAGTCATTAAAGGTTAATTTATGTTTAAACTTATTCACTTTGTTATTTAATTGTTAGTAAAATTAATTTATTTTTTTCATTTTTTAACAGTTATTCACGTTATTGGCCATTGTATAAATTTCTATCATGTATCCACTCAACCGCTGGATCATTTAAAATGCCTCACCAAAGAAATGCAATTTGAGTAAATATTCATTGTATATTCTTCAAAGTAAATTAGTTATTTTCATGTTCTAAAAATTTGTATTTTTAATTACTTCAGATCAGATTTTAAGCCAACGATAACATTTTGGCTATTTCAAACAATTACGGGTAAGTTTTTTTTGTAATGTCCACCATTTTTCACTCGCAGACGTTACTAATTTAGCGTTTTTCTTGAAGGTATCACGGGGATTATACTATTTGCTATTGTTTGTATCATTTTTATCTTCGCTCACCCACGTATAAGACAGAAAGCTTATAGTTACTTTTGGACAACTCATAGTTTATACATTCTGCTATTTATATTATCTTTAATCCATGGATTAGCAAAATTAACTGGGGTAAGTTCGGTTAAAATTGAAATTATAATTATTGTATTAATTATTTTTAATCTTTTCCTCTGATTATTTTATAGTCTCCGAGATTTTGGATGTTTTTCATTGGACCCGGTGTTATTTTCACTCTAGATAAGATAATAAGCCTTCAGACAAAATTTGTCGAGTTGGATATTTTGGATACCGAATTATTGCCTTCCGGTATAACTATAAATTTAATGAAATGACATATTTAACGTTTATAAAATATATAATTTATTACTCTTCGTTTTATTTAAAGATGTTACCAAGGTTAAGTTTGCTCGTCCTCCGAATTTCAAGTATTTATCGGGACAGTGGGTTAGACTCAGTTGCACAGCTTTTCGTCCCAGTGAATATCATTCTCTGACACTAACATCGGCTCCTCACGAAAATTATTTATCTGTACACGTCAAGGCTCAAGGACCCTGGACGTGGAAACTTAGAAATTATTTCGATCCAAATAATATGAACAATGCAATTCTTCCCAAGGTCAGTAATCATGCAATATCCTCTTCACTTGCTTAACTCCTTCTCTATCAATCTATCTTACGAATCAACGACTGATTCATAGGAACTTTTTTAAATAAAAATTTAATAAACTTATCTTTAAACTAAAGATTCTTGTATCAATTTATTGTTTTGTTAACAATGACTTTTGGTACCTTTGGTATCGATGATTAAATACTCTAAAATTCGAATAGTTACTCAAACTATAGAAATTTAGGCACTGCAGTGGCGAAATTGCATAAAAGGTTAAAATCGGTAATTATTGCTACGGCATAATTTAATTTATCACGACAACAGTAATACAATTTCAGCAATTTCAGAAGGCGCGTGTCTGGTTGTCTAGATTGCACAAGTAAATTAATTATTCTAGCTACAATAATGCTCTATATTTTCAGATAAGGCTGGAAGGTCCTTACGGTGGAGGTAATCAGGACTGGTACAAATTCGAAATTGCAGTAATGGTGGGTGGAGGTATCGGTGTGACTCCATATGCTTCAATACTCAACGACTTAGTTTTCGGCACCTCTACTAATAGGTATTCGGGAGTGGCGTGTAAAAAGGTAAGTAGCGCCATCTAACAATCGAAAAGATAAATATGGCAATTATCATGACATAAATTACATTCCAGGTATATTTTCTGTGGATATGTCCATCTCATAGACATTTCGAATGGTTCATTGACGTGCTGAGAGACGTAGAAAGGAAAGATGTGACGAACGTTCTAGAAGTTCACATATTTATTACTCAATTTTTCCATAAATTTGACTTGAGGACGACGATGTTGGTCAGTTTCAAAGCGTTCTTTCAAACATGAAAAAATCACCAACGTTAATTATACTCATTTTAATTTTTATATGTTTATTTATAGTATATATGCGAAAATCACTTCCAAAGAATATCGAATCGAAGCATGTTTACTGGATTAAAAGCAATAAATCATTTTGGTCGTCCAGATATGACATCATTTCTTAAATTTGTCCAACATCAACACTCTTACGTAAGTTTTTATGATGATTTAAAGATTTTATGATAAATCTTGTTTTTTTTCAAGAGAAAACCGGTTCTGCGAGACAGTTTAACACTTTTTTTTTTAATTATTTTTCTATAGGTAAGCAAGGTCGGAGTGTTCAGTTGCGGTCCTTCCGCTCTAACTAAGAGTATTAGCACATCTTGCGAAACAGTCAACAAGACGAGGAAATTGCCGTATTTCCTCCACCATTTTGAGAATTTCTAAAAATTTTTTCCATTTCTGTGATATATGGTGCCATCGAATTTGATTAAAATAATTTTTTTGTAATTTATTATATATATATATATGTATACATACCTAATTTAACATCTAGAAAAGTTTTATCCAAAATCGAAATTTTTAAGTCTAAAAAAACGTTTTAAAATTATTTAAAATTTCTTTTTTAAACAAAATAAATATAATATAAACGATGCCAGTGAACATGCCATTTTTTACGCAAGAAAATTTAAAGAAAATGAAAGCCAAAGCGGTGTTAAACGTAAAAAATAAAGGAAAAATAAATGTAAAGTTGGGGTATTTTTTAGCCAAAATGTAAAAAAAAGGCTACTACTTAATTTTATTAATGAATCGCATATTTTATGTTCCTATAAAAATCTTAAACCAAATTTTAACAGGTCTTTCTTCGTTTCTTTCTTTTATTCCAAACAAAATCTTAGCTTATAATAACAAGCTTATTTAAATCGATTATTCAATTTGAAGTAGCTGTTTTAAGCTATTTCTGCAATGTAATTATATATTTTATCGACTTCGAGCGTGTGTACTCGAAGCAGTATTCATTATTCCTCCCAAACAACGGTAATCGTGCAATGTATTTTTTTAAAAACAATAAAATTTTGTATGTAATCTGGATGTATAAAATGTCTGTTTTTTTGTACAATAAATTGTTATTTTTATTTTAAAAATGGTGTGATGGTTAATGATTTTCGAATAAGCAATGAAAATTAACTATTTCAAAAGTCAAGTTGCGCGTTATACACCATAAGAATGGCTCTTCTGTGAATATCTACTCTACAGAAAAGTAAACCTTATGTAGTGAAGAACAAGAAAGAAATATGAAGAAGGAAATTTTTATTTTATCAAAAATTTTGTTTAGATATTATTTTTAAATAACATAAAACTTGTACAGAAAGATATCGAGTATAATCAGGGCCGAATTTGAACATAAGCTAAACAAGCAGTGGCTTAGGGCCTCGAGTTTGGGTCTCTAGCTTAGGATCTCACGTTTATAAATATTATTTGGTGAGAGGACGGTTATAGATAGTTTAGGGCCAAAACAAGTCTAACTTATAAGTCCAAATCGTTCAATAAATCTACATAACTTAGCAATTACTACCTCGATATCAATAGAAATTAATATATAAATTTCAAACGTTCTTCAAGTATTTAAAAGTGTTTTACTAGATATCATTTATGTCTACAGTATCATTAAAATTACCTCCATTCACTAACTATTATAGGCTATAATTTGTTTTAGATCGAAAAAAAATATTAAATTTATAGCTATTGCCACTTTGTCTTAGAATTATTAATATTAAAAATTTATATGTTTTCTACATAACATAGTTGCAATTCAAACGCAGATCAAGTTAGTTAATAATTTATATTAGCTAATAATAGCTAAATAATAGCTAAATTTTATTTCTTTAAATAATAGCCAAGGAATGAAATAATAGTTTATTTCATTCCTTGGCTATTATTTAAAGAAATAAAATAAAGTGTACCTTTCGCAAATTGAGTAAAACGTTATAAATTTGAATCTACAATAATAAAATAATTAAAATAAACAGCAATAAAACGTTGTACACTATATCAAAAAGTAACATTGCATACTGCGTGAGAAATTCCTATACTGTACATTAAATTAAAATCATTCTAAGTTAAATAAAACGTTTCATAAATTTAAATTTAAAAAATTACAATAAAGCTAATTTTATATTTTATATTAATATTATAATATTAATATATAATAAAAATAATAATAACATTATAATATTACGCGTTAAAATGTGTTAAAATTAACTTGAAAATATAATATAGAAATACGATATTCAATAATTCGGATGCATGTAGAAATAAATATAAAATTTTAAAATATAATAGGATATTTTAAAATTTATTTCGTTAATTCGAGTAACGTATACAGTACACTCATATATGACGTATAACATACGCATACATTCCAACAAATGGACAAAACTCAGAAGAATAATTGGACTAAATCGAACCAGAAACATAATATAATTCTTATTTCAAGCATAATTATGATAAAATTTTGATATTAAATCGAGAAAATCAACATAATTAGACATCTGCAATTTATAAAAAGAAATTATATATAAGTATGACTACAATAAAAAAGTATGGGCTACATTCCATTGCTTTAGGCCACTTCTAGTCGAGGACCTGATATTTTTGTAAAATTACAGTATTTATATAATTTTTATTTTTTTAAACAAAATTTAAGACTAAAAATATCTAACTAAGATATGTATCGATAATTCGCCTTAAACTTTAAATACTTGAAAATCTTGAAAATATTTTACTCCTTACAAAAATAGGAAACGAGTCATTATCAACTGAAGCATCTCGATATTTTCAGACAATTCAAAGAATTCGGAATTGACTTTATCTCTGAAAATCGCCTATCAGCTGTAGAATCTTCAACAATTTGTATGTAAATAACGACTTAAAGAGAATCGTGAAAACGTGAATTTATTTATTTTTTAATCATTGGAAAGAATGTTATATAATCCCCGTATTTATAGAGTTCCCGTGTAATTTAACTAGTCGGATGATAAACTAGATCTTTGTTAGTTTGCTACTGATTAATCTCTTTCATGTAACTTATTTACTGAACTGAGAATCGCTAACTCCAATTTACCTTCTATCAGAAATAACCATCTTGTGTACAGGAATAAAGTAATTATACAGCTCTTAAATGGTTAATTTTCTATATAAGAGTCTATAAAAATTTTACAGAGAACTTTTTTTTATATATATTGTCTGTTAGAAGAAACTAAATGTGAAAGAAGAAAATTTAGCATGACCATGCACAAACTTTTTCATACGAAAATTGTTGNTTTTTTTATATATATTGTCTGTTAGAAGAAACTAAATGTGAAAGAAGAAAATTTAGCATGACCATGCACAAACTTTTTCATACGAAAATTGTTGCATAAGAATAATAAATTTTCATTTAGTAATTTTCTGACTTTTATAAACAGATATAATCGGGTAAAAACAGATTTTTTTTTGGCAAATTAGTCTGCAGTTATGGTGAAATTCTTTCATAGAAACTAATTTTTGTCAGAGGTATGTCGTGGGATTGGTTTAGGTGTGCCACAAAATGCCTTATTACTAAGTTTATTTCATACAAATAAAAGATAAAAATAAATATATATTTTTGTCAATAAAACAAAAATATTTTTCTCTTCATTAACAGAAATTAATTTAGATATTTCATTTATATTAATAAAAAAAATTTTTAGAGAAGGTGTCGTGACCTCTCCTCTCCTCTCGTAGAACACTAAGAGGTTCCGTAATAAAAGATTTGTAAAAACGCAGTTTTTAATTATGAAATATAGTGTTTATTTTACAGCTTATTTCAATAAATATAATTTTATAAATTTTCAATTTTGTTGTTAATTAAACTAAACATTGTATATTAAAAAAATCTGGCGCAAATCTTGTTTCAATTGTTCACTTGTTGATCCGTTTTTCTATTATATTTCTTTGCTTGAACAATTTAATGGATGAAAGTTTATACATTAGTGCATTAAATTTTTAAGCTTAAGCTACATATTTTACACAGTAGAAGTCTATAATCTATGACATATACCAGATTTTCCTAATGATATAAATTTTTATATTATTTTAGATCATTGGCTCTTAACCTTTTCCGCTTTCCGCACCTTAAATTTTTAAAACTTACTTTTAAACTCTCATGAAAAAAAAAAACAGTTTTTTATATAAGGGAATAGGTCGTACCATGTTCTCCCGTGTATTTTAGCCTAAGTTTAGATACAACTAAGCAATTGAGAAAGAAAAATTCATCTTTGTCTGTTCTAGATTAGGGTTTTTAACAGAAAAAATACGTAATTGTATATTTCAATTTGATATTAAGATTTTATTTTAAATAACAGACTGTTCTTAATGAAAAAAAAGACGAAAAAGTTTTTAAAAATTCAATCAAAGGAAGAAAAAAAAAAACATTTATTTCCAAGAAATGGCATCTTGCATCCTCGGGATTCATGCATCCCAGGTGAAGAACTTTTGTTTTAAATGATCTCAGAACACTCGAGACACGCTAAAGTATAAAATTTCGGCATCAGTTTATTCACAAAAATCACAATTCATTAATTAAAATGTTGAAACTAATCTTTAACATAAATGAATTCAATTAAAACTTCAATCATATGAAGCTATTATGTTAATGATAAAATATACAATTATATTTAGTATTTTACTTCGAGACAATATTAAATTAACAAAATTTAATTTTCAATATTTTAAAACTTTCAAAAGCAACAACCTTAATAATAATAGCTCGAGACAGTTCGTGTAATTTTTAAAGGAAAAAAAAAAGTTTTTGTCGGAGTGTAAATGCGAATCAGTTTATAATGAAGGAGTTGACGAACCGTTAATGGCTTATTCCACGTAACAGAATCATATAACAACACTCAAATACTGATTCCAAACTTGGTATATGGGTCCGGTTTTGTCCAGTCGACCGTTTTCGTACGAGCTTATCCCGTTTTGCATGGGTGTAGTGACCACTAGGTACCATTTATACTTAGCTCCGAGGCCGAAGATTGTCACAATTTGATTTATACAAGTTTAATGATAAGTTTTTCTTTTTAAAATTTAACTTCGTTCCTAATAACTTCATTAAATTAAAGAGTGTAAGTTTTTCTCTCTATTCGTGTGGGAGGAATTGTGAATTTTAAGATAAAGTCTCAGGAGTGATGTATAGAAAGTGTCACTTTCGCCAGAAATCAAGGTCATTAAGAAAACTTTCCCATATAATATGTTTATAAAGGAACGAAGTAATTAAAGCCAGATATGATTACAAAGAAAAAAATATCAAGTTTTCGACTGACAAACTTTCTTTTTGATCACCGTTTCGCATTGTCAAGCAGTAAAGGTTGACAGAAAAACTGGAAAGCAGATTGGAAATCCCCCATTCTCGATGCAATACTCGTTTTCTTTTTTCTAGTTAATTCTGTTATTACTTGTTTTCCTGCACAATATAATCCGGTTCATTAAAATTGTCATTTCTATAATTATTTTATGATCTAAATAGATAAATGTATATAAATTTTAAAAACAAGTTTTCTGACAGTTATTACGGTAATTTTTTTATATTCAAATCATCTCATTCTTAATGAAATTTAAAATTCCTTCATACAATTATTATATAAACCTAGAAACAGTTTAGAATTATAAAAATATTGAGGTAATTCTGTAGTACAGTCAACCCTCCGAACAACAGCCATTGACCAGAACGTAAAAAATGATCGTTGTTTGAAGATGGACGTCATTGGAGGTTCGATTGCATTACATTTTCAGTTCGCATACAAATTAGAAAACTAATTGAAGAAATACTACATTTTACACGTAATTGTTCAGTTAAATAACGTTAAACTTCAAAATTAAATAGATAAAATAGTCCAAAAATACGCTTATCGACTTCATTAATACTTTATAATTCAAAATGCTTTAAATTAGTACTTTATAAAGATCTGATATTAACGTACAAACTTAATTTATTCAGCTTATTTACAGAATACAGAAAAAAATCGTATCGAGTTTTCCTCTATTGCTCTAAAATATGTACCGAAAACAATGGATATTGTTG